GATTTTTATGTGGAAAAGACATATGGAAACTGTGAAGGATGGAGGTGAGAAGGATAAGCATGAGGAAAATAGCTGAGCAAGAGTAACAAAAATAGGCAAGTGGGACAGTAAGCTGGAGACAGAAATGGGTCCATGACACAACCTGCTGGACAGGCAGGACATAAGAGGTTTGGCTCAGCCAGTTCATGTTTCTTTGCAAAAAAATTGAAAGAAATAAAAATTGCTGAACCTGAAGATGTTTTGAGTCCCAAAAAATGCCTGTAGAATTCAGGCTTCAACTGCTACTGAACAAATGTGGTGATATCCTAGTACTTCCATCAGGCACTCATTATTTGAGTGGTGGAGTTCTACACAGTGAATCTGAGTCCACCATCCTGGAAGCAATCAGGAGGTCTCAGGATGATACCACACAAAAAGTTTCTGGCCATTTCAGTGCCCTCTTTCAAATGGCTGGTATTGGTGTAGCAGGGTAGGAGACAATCAGTTTGTGTGGTCCTGGATTCTCTCAAAATCACTTGCTCATCCCAAGTACAATAAGCCCACTTTAGGATTCAAACAAGGCTTTTGTCTGTGCTGCTAATAGACTTCAGCACTGCATACATTTTCCAGATTCATAATATCATTTTAAAAATGCCATTCTGCCAATGTCATACTAAGAAGTTGAGTATTAATACCTGAGGTGTGGCCACCACAGTAATAGCTGGATATGTGACTGAAAATGAATGGCCAATGGAAGGAAATAAAACCACAACAAAATTCTGAGGTATATGATCCAAAGTCATTAACAGCAATGAACTTAATGAAAAAAATAACTGAATATTAGAATCAAATATGTAATAAGTTTTTCAGAAATTGCTAGATAATAAAAAGACAGCTGTAACTGTACCTTTTTTGAGCACTCAAAATACAGTCAACATTAATTTTAAATTGGTTTATTTTTCTTTTATTGCTATGCCTGTGTGGGGCTGTAATTCACAAAGATTCAGAAGTATTTTGAAGTGATGAAATGCAGTTTCACCTGAAATACTGCCACTTTTGTCACAAAAAGACCCTCCCAAATAGGTTTTCCACAACAGAGAAATTCTGTAATTAAATTAAAAGGAAGTGAAAACTAACTTTTGCCAATTGAAAACATGTAAGTAATTTAGTTGGGCTAAATGCAATGACCAGAACTGGAATTTTGAAGGCAAACAAAGATTAAACACTGTGCTGCTACCAAACATTCCTTGGATTCTTCTGAAGCCCCAAGGGACAGATCGTCAGTTTTCCATCTCCTCTTTTTTACTGGGCCATGTCTTCAAGGGGACTTGTTGCTTCCATGACAGGAAGGACCCAAAAGCCTAACCACTTTTTTCAGCTATAAATGACAGTAGTTTGGGTCTCAGTTATTTGACAGCATTTCTTCCTTTGTCACCTATGTTTTTCTGGATGTCTCTTCTCCATCATTGGCATGGGATAATAATTATCTGGGCTTATACCTCACACTTTGAGATTTATCATCCGTTTCATGTCATTTATTCATTCTATTTGAAATACAAGGATTTCTCATCTTGAATCAGCCCTTCAGATCTCATAAACAGAGTTAGACTGACTTACTAAAGAAGGAAGATTACTTTTTACTTCACTCATTCAAACTGGAAAAATTTTTCCTGATTTTGGACAATACACATGGACTAACACCTCTCTCTTATATTTCACGAAGTTTTTAAGTTTAAGAAAAGTCAAACATTCTTAGGTCAGAATACTAAAATTTCTAAGAAAACTATTACAGGCACATGATAATAGATAGAATTCCATATTTTGTAACTGAAAATATAAACATGCAAAAATTTTCATCATAAGAAAATGGTCCTGTTACATGGATTGTGTAGAAAAGGAAAACTGCTAAGAAGGAGGAGTTGTCCATAAATTGGTATGGTCAAATGTGTTCTTCCATTAAACCATACTGTGAAGTGTGATACTCTCTTTCTTGTATTGCTTGATTGTTAAATGATGATTTTAATAGTAGCTGTCGCTCCTTTGCCTAGGGTTTTTGATCTGTAGTGTTCAAAATAGCTCACCATACAGTGATTCATAGATAAATTAATATGTTTATTGTCTATGTATTTTGGTTATACTCAAATTGTTCATGTAGTTCTCAATTAGCTTTTGATGCCACTTAAAGGTATTACTTCTTCTTGATAAAATCAATGAGCAGGAAAAGTATCAAGCCCAAAACTGGAAATTCAAGTATAATTAACAGAAAAACTGCAGCAATATCAGTCTTTTCCCAGATATATTGTGCATCTTAATGTCCAATAGAGGTGCCTATGTCTTCTGCTGGTACTGGCTCTTGATTACTCCTCATACCATCCATCTGGATGATGGAGCAAATTGTTCAGAACTTATTTTTCATCTGAGTCCTACCATTTCTCCTTCCACTTTCACAACTGAACAACTAAAATTTTCACTTAGGGAAAGTGGAAGGAACAAAGTAAGCGTTTCATGGATGTTAGAAAAAATAAGACCCTAACACTCAGAGTTCCTGATCATTACTACACAATTTTGTGACACTAAACTGAACAAAATAAGTAGGCAGAATGAAATTTTCAAATAAAAAAAGGAATATTGTCCTAGAAAGCTCAATGCATCTACATGTATATGTGTGAAGAGCTATGTCAGATTCCTGTATTCTGAATGTCCCACTGAGTATAAATGAAGTGAGACACTTGTGTGAAACATCTGAGAGGCCCACATGTTAGTATCTGTTAATAAAATTCTCCTACAGTGGCTTTTTCAGAAACAGAAAACCAAAATTGCACATATGCTTGCACACATGTATGCATTCATGACTGTGAATTGGTCACAAAAATAGGACATACCCTCAATATATACACAAATGTGTGTATTATGTATAAATTGCATGCATTCATTATATTCTTGGTTGGATGTTTTTATGCATATGATAGCAAAAACATTCCTTCAGGCTGTACTGCTATGCTAGTAGGCACTGTGTCAAAACCAAACAAAGAGCCAGTTTAGTAGGTTTGCTCTCTAAGCTGGAGTGTACAGAACTTTCCCCATTTTCCTCCATAGGTGAATTTTGTAGATCTACCCTCCCTCTGCGTTCTGTGGGTCCTTATTAGTTACAGAATCGAGGACTCACTCTTAAATGATTGCCATTTTACCCTGGGAGATCATGGAAACCTGGCAGTGAGACTCTTGGCTAGCTGTGCCACAGAAAAAAACATACTGCTGTGTTTTAGAAACTCAGTGTTATAATACAGCAACTATATCATAGGGCTTTTTTTCCACATCTTTCCAAATTCTACGCTGTGTTTAACATTGGCATGAAAAATATGTCTGAAAGTCAAGGTTTGAAAAGTCCTTTCCTGGTGCCAATTTACTGTTTGAAGATTGCACAGACCACCTCAGAAGGGATTGAAACACTTAATTCCCTCCATTTTTGTTCCTTTTATTCAGCAAATGGATGTACCTCTAGACAGTTATGGTTCAGAAACTGTTTTAGCTGCATTCAACCAAAAACACGTTCAAGAATGACTTGACCAGGATTTGATCAGGTGGCAAGGTTATGTCTTCATACATGCACTCCTCTAGAGACAACCCTTGGAATACCGATACGTTTCCATCCTATGTTTCCCAGAATAATTATAATGACATTATACACCCTAAAGGAAATTTCAGAGATGGTTCCACAATACTGACTACCATACATAATTACTTATTTTTCTTAGTCTGTCTTCTTGAGTGTAAAATCTTCTTTTCGTTTTGTACTAAGGAACAAAATTCTGTTCCTTGCAGAACAGGAACTGGACTTGTCTGGGGGAATGTCTGGCTACAACACATGAATAGTTGTCATTGTCCTATGTTGTCCACTCATTGAACAAGTACTTAATCTGCTTGTTATTTTCATTACTTGACCAAAGTTCAAGCAAGATACTTGAAATTGTAAAGTAGTCTGTCAGTCTACCTGATCATTTATAAAACACATATTAGAAGTTATCTTTCATGTGTCCTTTTTTTGCTGACTTTGTACTAGCCGTTGTTACATTCCTCCAAAGCCTCTTTGTTGTAAATGTTGGTGGTTATTTTCCTTGTTTAGGCAGCAGTGTACAGAGAAAAGGCTGTTGAGTAGCTGCTGGCTTTTTCAGCACGGCCATTTCCTATTCCTCAGACACAAAGTAGCCCTGTTTGCAGCAGGGCATTTCTGGTGGACCAAATGATGGCTCTAACAGACTTAGCTTTTGGCAGTAAGAGAATGTTATTCCTAATGCCTGCTCTTCTTTCAAACAGCAATCGCACATAGAAATATGAATGTATTTCAAACAGAATTTCTATATGCAGACTCAGCTCTTGGGGGATATATTTTAAATATCTAAATAAAAATATTTTTAAATGCAAATATCTTGCTTTAAAATCTAAATTTCAGAGAACTCCACAAAGGTTTCAAAGTACATTATTTTCATTTCAAAATCCAGTGTCTAGGCCATTTTTTTTTCCAAAATCAGATTCTTTAACTCTTTTTTTTAATGTATGAGATACCAACAAAATAATTCAGATTCAGTTGAATCTGAAGGTCTACTTCAGTAAAGCATTCAGGTATTAGTATTCAGCAGAATACTTAAAGACATTACTAATTGTGAGGTTTAGAGTTAGCCAGGTGCTTACATGCCATTATTGAAGAAAAATGTTTGCTTTCTGACCAACACCTCAGAATGGTCAATCCAGCTGGTGTAAAATAAACTGAATTGCATTGTTTCCTGTTGGAATTGTAAATTGTTTATGACAGAGGATCTTTTTTCTATATAAGTCTATGAAGCAATTAAAACATTATTAGTTCTCTAAAAAGAGGGACTTTCATACTTATGAACAATCATAGTGCCAATTTTGATAACTATTCTATCAGAATATGTTCAGTAGACATCAGAACTGGGCATGTATGTGCATAAAGATTTGGTACATACTCTCTGAAAACTTCCCCTCATATATTCTGCACTTACCCTCATATATTCTGAACACTGATTCTTTTTCTCCATGATTCATACATTTTTGGTTTATGCAACATCTTAGGCTCCTATTAGATCTGATCCTAATTGAAATAGAAAGAATAAAATTAATATTAACATTGCTTTTCTTGAAATATTCCTGCAGAGATCTGAAAGGGAGATGACAAACCACATGCAACAAAGCTTCTTCTTCAGCTGTTTGATGTACAGTTTTACTGCCATGCTCTTTAATGCACATTTTCTTGGTTTCCTATAATTCCAGAAACTTTGAAATCCAAAACCAAAGGAGACTTGTGCACCACTGGTGCTAGCCACACACATCAACAGACAATTTGTAATATTTGAGTAGCAAAGTTACATGCTGGTCTCAGTCTTTTATTATTCTCTTCCATATCAGGAGCAGTGACTTTTAAAATTACTACTACTACTACTACTACTATTCATATTATTAGTATTTAACATTAGGATCACAGATTGGAAATCCAGCTAATTTCTACTTCAGTAACTGTTACTGTTGCAGAGAGACAAGCTGGAAAAACTAGGACTCTACCCTGCCTGCAGTAAAAGAGGGAGGGCTGACCACAGTTTCCTAGACTAACTGATGTCAGGAAATCAATTATTTATTTGCATGCATGAGAAAGACAGAGTTTGGTTTTTTTAATTCGCATACAGCCATGAGGGTTCATGTGATCATATTTTCTTAAGGGCTGCTATTTGTTTTCTCATTATTAGGTAAGATGCTGGACAGCAAAAAGAAGCCCAATAGCAAAGGGGAAATTAAAGAAATCTGTGCAGAATATTCAGCCCTGCCCAGGACAAGTTGCTGAAAGCATTTGTTTTCAATCTTATAGCAATAGTCTTCTGTTTAGCTTTTTGAGTGTTCTCTTCATAGTTGTGTGTGTCCCTACCTTCTGTTCAGAGCTAAAGTTATTTTTGCAATTTGTTTCACTCATCTTTGTTTTTAATAGATGTTACTCTGACGTGATTAAATTGTGAATGGCAGAAATAGAATGGATCAGAAAGGAATCAGTGTCATAACTTGAGATTTCCTGAACTTCCAGTCTCTCTGTTAGTCAGGAATTGTAAACAACACGCAATGCATGTTAACACTTCTATTTTGAGATGGTGCTCAGTATTTCCTAGTAAATTTAAAATATGGACCACAATAGAATTCTTATTAAACTTTTTTCTGTTTTCCCTAGATACTGTCACTCCTTTCATATGTCACAATACTAAAATGGTTTTCTTGTTGTAGCAAAATGCTCCATCTTTACAGCAAAGTGTAGTCATCAAATTGGCTTACTGTAATTTTATATACCTTAATGAAAAGGAAGAAGAAATGGAAACACAAAGTCTTTTGTAACTTTAAATAAACCTATGCTCTATTGCAGATGTTATCACCACTACTTAATGATAGACAGATCTGAGGTTCAGCATTACAGCAAAAAAGTGCAAAAGTATTTTGGAGAATATTTAATAATTTTCAAAATATGCTCTTCCTAGAAACAGGTAGCCCTTGAGAAAAATCTGAAATCAAATCAATTTAAACTATAACATAGGAATTATTTGCAAATTTAGGGGGTAAATACCTTCTCATTTTTAAAAGAAAAACAAAAAAATTCTACATATTTTAGCTGGTCTTTTTTACAGTTTTTACTAAGCAATAGTGATAAAAAAGTCCACCTCTATAATTATGGCTACATAATGCCTGTAGATTTAAAAAGAAAACATATACCTAGTCTGTCACAAGAAACAAGACAAACAGGTTTTTCTCATTTTTCCTCTCTGCCTATCCCTAGCCTTATTTTTATGTTGACTTTTCTTCAGTTAATCACTACATTAGACTGTAAAGCTTTAGAAGTCGTCCTAATTTCAGCTCACTTGTGAAGTTTGCAGAATGATTTGTAGTCCTGTAACAACAGTAAAGCATGGGGACAAGTTTTGTTTTCTAAAGCGCTGTGTGGAGATTTGATGGAAAGAATCCTTTCTGGCATTTCTGAAGTTCGGAGTTTTAATCAGTGACAGTTATTATCTATTTTATTGTTTTGGTCACTGTTCTAAAAAAACCTAACCAACTAACCAACCAAAAAGACCAATCAAACAAACAAAAAACCCCAAAAAACAAAACAAAACAAAACCACAAAAACTCCACAAAAGAAAACAAAACAAAAAATACCAAAACAAACCCTCACACATAGACGAATAAAAATATTGCAGTAATCAAGATGTCAGGGCTTTTTATGAACTCTGCTTGAGTTTTGCATTGTTTCAGCTCTCTAAATTTTTCTTACCACTGTATCTGTAATTACTGGTGCAAAGGAACCATAGTTCTATTTATATACAAGTATTGGATACATCTGAAAAAATTCAGTATATTGGCTTTTCTACACTTTTTGTGTATGTTCTATTTTTGGACCGTACATATTTTTACTCCCTTGGCTTGACTTTTAGCAAAATTGAAGTGCACTGTCAAATTACGTTTTATTTGAATATGGCAAATTTTCACCTAAATTCATAACATTCCAACTTTACCTCCAAAACACTTCTGACTCTGTTCAGATTCTTAGATATTTGCAAAATGTGCCTATACCAGAAAAGAACCTGTTCATTTTTTTCAAATTAAGAAATAACCTTGACTCTGGGCTTTCCTATTACAAAATTCTGCCTTACAGCTTTCTAATGTCAGAGTCCAGTTCTAAACTGGAATCACACTGAGATCAAATTTGCAGGTCCTAGTGACTGAAAGATATTAACTTTCGGGTTTATAATCTGGCTCAAAATTACAAAAACATAGTCAAGAAGAGAAGGATGTGTTAAGCATATGCTCCATCTTCTGCCAAAATGTTCTTATTTCTACATTATATTTTCCAGAGCTTTATGAGTGTTCTTTTTAAATTACTCAGACTGCTTCCTGTTTTCCCCTTGGGAAGCTGTCCCGCAGTCTAATATATTGCTGCAATTAAGTAATGTTTTCCTTATAAGCAGTCTAAATTTGTTTGCTTTATTTCATCAAGTAACAGGGATTACAGGCCCTCTGAATACACATCTGAATTTTTCAGGTACAAGGTTAATTATGAAATGCTACCATTCCTCATGGCTGTTTACCTCATTGTACATCCACATGCCAAGAATGCCACGTATACTACAAATAATGAATAGAACAATAGCTGATAATCTCTACCCATAAAGGTGTGGAGTATATTCCCACATTATTCTCATACAAAGCCTCAGCTTTAAGGTTTTCCTAATGAAAGACAAGGGATTTAGTTCGGCGCCTCAGTAATTTTGATAACAGCAGAGACCATACCAAGCAAACAAAACCAAAATGAAACAACAAGAAGCAATCTGCCATGTGTTGGAGTGAGGCATTAGATATGACCTACTACCTGTACAGCATCCCATGGAACTGTGTAGAATGCAACTGCTAATCACACTTAATTCTCTGTGCCTATACCAGCCCTTGAATTAAGGGCACAGCCTATTTCTGGAACAGGGCTTTTTCATCAGGCTACTGTTTACATGGATGGAGTCCAGGTGAGATCCAGAAGACACAATTGAAGGAATAAATACAAGAGCAATGCTGAAGAGATTCTGACTCATTCTATCATTTCCTTTAATACTTTTTCTCTGGTTAGTTCAACAAATTTGAAGTGTCCCTTAATGATAAGCAACAAAATTATATCAGACCAGGAAACAAACATACTAAGTGTGATAAATTTCAGTTCAGTATGCAGACAATCCTTTCACATATATGAAAGTTCACCTAAGGCAGAGCTAAGCATACAGGGAAGGCCCCTGGGAAAGAACATGCTAAAGGCCTCCTATTTGGATTGGCTGACTGTATCCCAAAGCTTTGCTGTTCCCACACTCAGCACAGCATGTGGCAACAGAGATGCTAAACTTCCTGTACTATGTCACCGATGTACAAGGCATGGTCTGAGAATTGTGTCATATTGTAGCTTTTGGTCAACAGAGGAAATATAAGTTCCTGGCTATTTCACCTTAATGAAAGCAATAAATACAAAGTTTCTGAGATACCTGTCTTTAAATATCTCTGCGACTCTGGCATCAAACGCAGCAAGTGCCCATGCAAAGGAAGGGATACCTCAAGTACTGCCCATAATCCATGAGAAATCCATGAAGCTATCCTGGCTGTAAGTTCACTTGTAAAGATGGAAATTAGCTCATTAAGGTACTGGGCCAGAATCGCAAAAACTGGCAAGTTCTATGTCACATAGAAAGGTAGAAGAGTGAACGAGTGAAGGAATGAGAAAAAAACAGAGAAGGGTAAATATTTCTGATGGCATAACAACAAAATATTTAGTTGCAGGCCTGAGCCATTGATTGGCCTGAACTTTAAACAAATATCTCTGCCAGCTGAATACTGGCCAAATGGCAAGTGGCAGCCTCTCCACAGCCTGATATACACGCAAATGAAAAGGTTTGGGGTGCCAGACAGCAGGAAGCCAGTGCTTTTAACACTACCACCCTGTAATTTATAGCATCTTGGTTTGTGCTACTGCAGTTAAGGGTCTGTTAATGTTTGTCTTCTGAACTCTAATTCTCAAGGGTTTATAATTTGGCCATTAACATGCTCTCAGTATCAAAACCTAGGCACACATAATGGCTAGCCAAGAACAGTTTTTAGGTAATTTTTTAAGGAAGAATGTTAGTTGGTTTCCAAAATATGAGAAAGGAAGTAAAGAAGGCAGGAAGGAATGACTAGTTAAAATAGTTAAAGATTATAATTTTGTGTGCTCAATGACTTGAAATGTCTCGCATTTTAAAAGATGAATTATTGCTATGAGGTGATATTATTTTTCTTGCTTTAAAGCTTTTTAAGATGAAGTCTTTTGCAGTAACCTAACATTTCAAGTGATTTTTGAATGGCAATTATTTACAAAAATCTCAGCCACTCAAAATGCCATAGATTCACAGATGAAGAAGTACATTACTGAATCCCAGCACTATAATTTTAAAGATGCAATTAGTAAGAACAAGAACAGAAAACACATACTTAGGAGTGGTTTTGTCAATTTACAGTCCACACTGTTAAAGCACTTTGAGTTCTAAAGAATGTATC